TGCAGAACTAGCAAAGCCTCTCTATGAAGCAACTAAGGAGGGGCAGAAATTTCAGTGGACAGAGGCCATGGAAAAATCCTTTAATTTACTTAAAACTGCCCTTCTGTCTGCTCCTGCCCTTGGACTGCCTGATGTAACAAAACTCTTTCATCTATACGTTGATGAAAATAAAGGGGTAGCGAAAGGAGTTGTAATCCAACACCTAGGCCCCTGGAAAAGACTGGTAGCCTATCTCTCAAAAAAATTAGACCCAGTAGCAGCAGGGTGGCCCCCATGCTTACACATAATAGCAGCAACAGCCTTATTAGTCAAAGACGTGAACAAACTTACACTGGGCCAAGAACTACACATTACCACCCCGCATGCCATAGAAGGAACTCTTAAGCAACCTCCCAATTGATGGCTCAGCAATGCGCGGCTCACCCACTACCAAGGACTGTTACTGAACCCAACCAAGATTATCTTTCAGTCTCCTACGGCATTGAACCCTGCCACCCTGTTGCCAGATCTGGATTTGGGTGCTCCGCTCCATGATTGTGTCGACGTTCTAGCTCAATCGCATGGGATCCGAGCTGACCTATGAGACACCCCTTTACCAGATGCCGAAGTTACCTGGTATACAGATGGGAGCAGCTTTGTGCATGATGGACAAAGGTATGCGGGGGCGGCAGTAGTGATAGAAACTACAATAGTTTGGGCTGAGCCGTTACCGGCCGGAACATTGGTTCAACGAGCTGAACTAATAGCATTAACCAAAGCCCTAGCTTTGGGAAAAGACAAAAAATTAAATGTTTATACGGACAGTCATTGTGCTTTCGCCACGGCACATATTCATGGGGAAACTTATCGGGAAAGGGGTCTACTAACCGCGGAAAGGAAGACGATTAAGAACAAAAACGAAATCCTAGATCTACTAGCTGCCCTGTGGCTCCCAAAGAAACTTGCCATCATTCATTGTCCAGGGCACCAGAAAATCACCACCCCAATTACCCAAGGCAACAATCTAGCAGACCAAACCACCCGAGAAATTGCGCTGTCTACCAACCTAGTATTGACTTCCAACCTACCTGATCCTGGGAGTCCCACCTTACCTGCAAACCCCAACTACATGGAGGAAGACTTGGAATGGGTTAAACAATTACCCAGAACTCAGTACGTATGCAATTGGTGGAAATCAGCAGATCACAAAGTCATCCTCCCCGAAAAACTGGGAGAAGAAATTTTATTCAAAATACACCAAACCACCCATCTAGGAACCAAAAAGATGCAGGAGTTATTAAAATGGGCAGACGTAATAATTAAAAATGCTCAATCTAAAATTGAAACAATTGTTTCTGACTGTAAAGCCTGTCAATTAACCAATGTTACTAAAA